ATGAACAACCTATTTCCTCGACAAATATTTCACCACTTTTTTTTTCTTCTCGTACTTCAAACTAAGATGCATCTTCCATAGTGCAACATGATTTATCTGAATGACCCTTAGCAGTTTCACTTATACCACCACGTCGTTCATCTCGCTCCACACAACCTCCTAGACATCTGTCAAACTACCATATTTTGCAACCGCTTCTTCTCCTGACACCATCTCCAAGACCATAACAATAAAATACCCCATTGAAAATTATACCTCGAGAGAGAGATTGTCTTTTGATCATCAAGCATTTGCAATAAAAATTTCTCAAATTCGAGAACCAACCACCTATGAAGAAGCAGTCTCTGACACGGGATGGCTGGCCTCAATGAAAGAAAAGATTCATGCACTTAAAAGGAATCACACTTGGAATTCGTGTCATTGCCTCCAGGCAAAACATGTAGTGGGCTCAAAATGGGTGTACAAAGTTAAAGTGAGATCATATGGCTCAATTGAAAGGTTGAAGTCCGGACTAGTGGCCAAGGGCTTTAATCAAGAATATGACATTGATTATGATGAAACTGTCAGTCCAGTTGTGAAGGCACCCACTATTCGATCCATCATGGCTGTCATCTATGTTTAATTGGAAACTCCATCAACTTGATGTGAAAAATGCTTTCTTTCATGGTCAAACAAGTTCCTCGGGCATGGTTTGAGAAATTCAGATGTCTACTCTATAGTATTGGTTTTCAAATAAGCAAAGTTGACTTCTCCTTATTTATTAAAAGACCATTTTTAGGTATTGTTATCCTTCTAATTTATGCGGATGACATCATTGTCACTGGAAATGATATTTAAATGCATTGAACATATTAAAAAAGAATTGAAATTGAACTTTGAAATGAATGATCTTAGAGAACTAAAATATTTTTTGCGAATTGAAATTCATCGAAATGAAAAAGGCATTGTTTTCACCCCACATAAGTATATTCTCGACTTAGTCTCTAAAACAAGGATGTTGGGATGCAAGCCTATTTCTATCCCGGCTAGATTAAATAGGAAGTTAAGGATTGAATAAGGGGAATTGTTACCCAATCCTTCATTGTACATAAGTGTAGTTGGTGGTATTCAATATCTTACATTTACACATCCTGACATTGTTTATGCAGTGAATACAGTATGTCAGTTCATGCAGGCTCCTCGACAACCTCATTGAGAAGCCACAAAAAGGATATTGAGGTATTTAAAGGGTTCTATACATGATGCCTTATTCTATACTTCGTCCAATTTACCTTACCTCAAAGCATACTCTGATGCTGATTGGACTGGGTGCGCTAATGATTGTAAACCCATTACAGGATTCTGTATCTACTTATGAAAAAGTTTGATTTCCTGGAGTAGCAAAAAACAAGCTTCAGTATCTAAATTCAGTACAGAATCAGAATATAGGGAAATGAGTATTGTCGCGGCGAAAATTACTTGGCTACGTACGCTCTTTAAGGAAATTGGTGTTTTCGCAATTAAACCAACCATTCTAGCTTGTGACAATCAAAGTGCCATGCGCCTAGCCACCAATCCTATCTTTCATGCTCGCACTAAACACATAGAAGTTTATTATCACTTCATTAGATAAAAGGTTGTATCAAGTGTTATTTCGGATGTGAACGCTAATCGAGTCTTGAGTCTATATAGACCTGACTTAGACCCAATCCGAATAGTATTATATTTAAATAATATTTAATATATGATATTTAAGTAATATTTAAGTAAATATAACTATATATATTTTACACTATTTGAATAATGGAAAAAGTTTATATAAAGTGTCAATCTTATATTGTAGAAGTAAGGTGCACCTCAAAACCCCATCGAAGAATGTTGTTTTGTCACTATAAAATTCTCCAATTGATCATTTTGCCCTCGATGTATATGGGTATGAGAGAAAAATAACTCTTAAGTCTTAGAAACAGTACATCTTGTAACATATCATTTGAATCGTCTATTTTTAAGATTTTCAAGTGTTCATAGATATGCTAGATCTACACCATTTTTGGAGTTTTTAATTTCAAAGTAGAGGTGAAAAATAGACTCTTAGGCTATGATGAAACTTTCGGCACAAAAAATGCGAGATTTTGGAGTGCACCTTCCTGTCATTGTTTAAGGTTGACACCGTATGCCAACCTCACCCTCGAATAATATCGGGCCAAGTTAGGTCGGGGTCGGTGTTGAGGTCCGGGTCCGGGTCTAGATCCCACACTATGTTTTTGGGTATGTGTCTGGGTCCGATGGCTTCGGATCCAGATCCCATGATATTTTTTTTGAGTCCAAGTCCATTATATTTTTGGGTCTGGGTCGGGTCTAGGTCCAGTGACTTCGTGTCCGGGTCCAAGTCCAGTGACTTCAGGTCTGGGTCCCATAATATTAATTTTCGAGTCTGGTTCTGGGGTCCGGGTCTAGGTCCAGTGACTTCAGGTTCAGGTCCCATAATATTATTTTTTGGGTTTGGTTCTGGTTTCGAGTCTGGGCTTGGGTTCGACGTGAGCCAGTGGCCCCCTTAGTTGAGAGAACTCGGCCAAATCTTGTATTGGCCAAAAAAACCTAAAAAAAGAAGTCCATAAAAATCTAATTTCTTTTTATAATGGATTGCCTACAAAGAGACTATTTGTCCTTTATAAATGAATATCATAATCATTATTGTCCCTTAAATATCAAATGAGTGGTTATAAGAATGTCAATGAATTGACATAAAGTAAAAAAAAAAAAATCTCAAACTTTGTAATTTATCCCAAGCCATCTAATGTGACATCTAAGGGATTGTCTACAAAGAGGTCATTTATCTTTTAATCATTTTCACTCTTTAGATGTTAAATTGGATAGCTTGGGGTGAGTCACGAAGTTAGATAAATTTTTTTTTGAACTTTCTATTTATTCAATGACACTTATACAATCGTTCATTTTAAAATTTAAGGAACAAGAATGAACGTAACCTCTATGTACAAAAGACAAATGATCTCTTTGTAGACAATCCCGATATCTAACGAGTGTGAATGATTGTGACTTCCGTTACAAAAGATAAAATATAGATTATTGAAAAATGTAATTGTCATATTAAAATATTCCAAAAAAATAAAAAATTAGGAAAGAAAAAAATTGGAGTGCTTGTTAATAAAAGTCCTCAAATTATCGTAAAAAATAAATCATATAAATTATAATTCTGAATAGCAATGAATATTTTTTTACAAATTTAATGAATTTTCAGTACTTTTTAACTTGGGAAACTCACTTCGAACATAGGACTCCACCAAGCCTTGACAGTGGATTTTACAACAATTTATGATTACTGGTTGCGTGTAATTATCAAATCCAACCTCTTAATCATTGAATTTTTGGTGAGTTTCATCTTAATTTTTGTCTTTTGAATGAAATTTCAGTATAGATAAGAGGAAACAAAAAAAAATATCTCCCCTCGCCCCTTTCTCTCTACCTCTTTGGTTATTGTAGATAACCCAGAGTTTCAGGAATGGTGGATGGGAAAGAGTAAGTAGTATCAGACCTAATGTCAATCAACACTCGTAACAATGGGCTTGTTCGACGGTGATCCAAAATCAGCTCCTATTTGTCATTTCTCTACAAAATCACCTTTCATCTGTCATTTTTCTTTTTGTGAAGGTATTTTGGTCAATACAAAATAATCTTTATGTGGGAGCATTGTAGGGGTATATATAAGTAATTTGAGAGAGCAAGGATTGCTATTGAGGGAAGATAAGTTTTTGGGAAGAGATATTGGGGTTTGCTCATTTATGGGCAAACCCTAGCCCTAATGTTGAGAATTTAGAGGAATTTTTTTGGTAGCGACGAAGCTGGTTGACGGCGTCAAAGAAAGAAGTCGATTGATAGTGTTATTGTGGTACGAGAAATCAATTTGAGATTTCAGTTTGAGAAAAAAATATTGGGGTTTCGTTCATCTATGGGCAAAGCCTACTATTGTTATGCTTTTATATTGAGAATTTAGAGGAATTTCTTCACGGCAATGCTTACTATTGTTATGCTTTTATATTGAGAATTTATGCTCTTATATTGAGAATTTAGAGGAATTTCTTCGCGGCATTGGAGTTAGTTGATAGCATCAAAGAAAGAAATCAATTGGTGTTATTATGGTAGGAAAAATCAATTTGAGATTTTTTTTGTCGGTATTCTCTATAAAACTCGCAAACAGGTAAGTTTTCTCCCTGATGCATCCTTGCCGAGAGCCTATCTTGGATGAACGCTTTTGTTTTATATGTGTCATGGTTTGTTGATTTCTATTTCATTTAGTTTTTTTCATTTTTATATTTTTTTTCAAATTTATTGCACATATTATTGCTTTTTGGCATATTGTCTACTTGATCGACTTTTCTTTTGAGATGTTAAATTTATTGATGTAGGGTGCTCAAGACATCAAGTAGAAATTGAAATTATCCGAGTGCCTGCCCAGCTGGGATGCTGCCAATGGCTGATGTTCTTGTTTTAATGGAGGGAGAGAGAATTAAGGGGTGCCCATTGCAAGTGTGGGATGTTTCGAGAAGAATGGAAAATGAACTGCGGTGGCTTGGTTTTAGGTTCGGACCGATCAGTATCTTCTTGTTTCTTCCCTCTCTTGCATCTCTTCTTATAGATCAAGGACACCATAGAGTGTTTGCAATATCGGCCAGTTCAACTCCTAACTCGCCAATCACTTCGGAATCGGGCATTGGTTTGGTGATTCGGATGGTTATTTTTAAAAGATCAAAAAATTTTATAAATAAAATTCAAAAAATAAAGGATTTGTAATACATTTTTAAAGCAAAGATCGGAAAGAGTTTTTATCATGAATATTTATTTTTATATTTTTTCTAACTTTTTGAAAAATTTCAAAAATATTTCTAGACACAAATTGATTTTTTAAAATTCATTTTTTTACTAATTTTCATCGTCGATGTGTTTTGTTTAATGATGTTCTAAATATATTTTTCATATTTTTTTGGTTTTTTTTGTATTTTTTAACACTTTTTTTGAAGAGAGAGAATCCATGTTTAAATACACTTTTTCTTTTTCTTTTTTCACATTTTTTCTATCTTTGGAAACTTATTTGTTCTTGATCCCTAAAAATTTGGATCATGTTTATCATGAATCTTTGAGGGAGGAAGCATATGAATAGGTGAGTCACCAAAATTGGATCATTTGATAAAAGGTTATATTTTTAAAAAAGTTTATATACGGTGTCAACCCAATATATTGGGTCGATAATCTAGAAAAATGGAGCGATTGGGAAAGATGTCGCATACAGAATTGGAGCTGGGTGGGTGAAGTGGAGATGTGGGATTGGAATTTTACAAATGAGTTTTATAGGATAGCGGTAAGGCCACTTTGCTTTTATAGAGCGGAATGTTGGGCATACAAAAAACAATATATTTATAAAATGATTGTAGCAGAGATGATGCTGAGATTGATGAGTAGTAAGACAAGAAGGGATAGACTTCGAAATAAATCTATTCGAGAGAATTTAGACGTGGTACCAATAAGTTATACAATGAGATAGTAGACTTAGGTGGGTTAGTCATGTGTGGTACTGACTAAATACAAGACCAGAGATAGGGCTAAAACGTTGTAATTAAAAGTAGTCTGAAAAGATATGAGGACTTATAGTGACATATGACTTTTAATAAGGATATGACCTTTAATAGATCTTAATGGAGAACTAAAAATCATGCAATCGACATCAATTAATTAGAAAAAGCTAAAATGAGGAATAAATGATATAATGTAAAGTAAAGTGGATCTCGAAAATGTTTTCCTAACATCAAGAAATCATATAATTAATCATCTCCACCTCTAGATGGATTTTCGAACCATCTTTTTTCAAATTTTTCGAATGTCTATAGATGCGTTAGATCTATACCATTTTTAAAGTTTTAAATTCATAATTAATGATGAAAATAAAATTTTAAACTATGATAAAGATTTCTAACACCCAAACAACATCTTTTACAAAAATTAAAATGTGTACAGTACCGTCATAAATTTTTTTGTTTCACCAAAAATATTATTATTTTACGTGGTTAGTTATTGGGGGAATTTGTTATCCAAAGTAGATGTTTATGAAAGATAAAAAAAAAATTTGGGCGTCTTTTCTCGTTAATTAACTAACTTATTGCTCTTGGTTAATAATTTATGCCCCATCAAAAATTTTCAAAAATATTTTCATCTGCACCATTTTCTAAAAACAGGAATTTTTTTTTTTGTTTTCGTTTGCCGTAGATTCAAAGAATGTAAGATAGGGCACTCCAGATATTTTCTTAGATCTTAGGGGTTCTTATTAAAGAGGCATTTGCAAGAAAATGCCATTTTAAGCCAATTCCAGAAATAAAGGGCATCCCGGTAACGATTATCAATGAGGGGGTACTATCGATATTTCATGACTTCTAGGTCAATTACAAGTCAATTTTTGTTCTTTGGCAATCCCTATGGAAACAGAAGGAAATCTCTTACCCCTGCCCCAAGCATGGAGAAATAAAGAGAGCAAAATCCACAGGTATTCTGCTTCCTTCTTTCTTCCCCTTATTTTCCGTTTGTTGAAATGTCTGATTTTCCATTAACGACCTGCAATCAAGGGATTTGATTGTTTTTGTATATTTTACCAAAATTGAACCAGGTTTTCCTCTTTTCTCTCTCTTCCAGAAGCTGGTTTTTTTCTTCAATGGAGGTTCCTCAATGCAAGAGGTCAGATGGCAAGGGATGGAGATGCAGCGCCATGGCCTTTGGAGGCCGAACGTACTGTGAAAGGCACTGGTTGATGCAGAAAAAAACTAGAGACAGAAAATTGAACTCCAAAATTGGGAATGGAGAAAATGAGAAGAAGTCAATTAAGAGGAAGAAGAGCTCTGATGAGAAAGAAAATGGGTTTCACAAAAGGAAAAAGGTGAAGAGGGAGAAGAAGAGGGAATCAGAGGATGGGGTCTCTGATAATTATTCTGACGAGGGGTCTGTGGGTTTGATTGATGAGAGAGAAAGAGAATGCCGGTTATCGAAGGGGTTAGGGTCTGTGGGTTTGGTTGATGAGAGAGAAAGAGAATGTCGGTTATTGAAGGGGTTATCTGGAAAGAAACAGAAGGAGGTGCGCAGCCTGTATGGGAAGAACCCAAAAGCGGGTACTGGATTCGAGAAGAAGAAGCTGGATTCTGGGTTATCAACTGAGAAGAAGAAGAGAGTTTCTGGGTTATCAAGTGAGAAGAAGAAGGTCGTTCGTGTGAACTCTGGCGAGGTTGGTTGCAAGGTTTATGGAGCACTGGACAGAGATGATGAATTAAAGAGAGAGGTGGGTTTAACTGTGAGCTTGGCTTTCCATGATAGTTTTCCTCAATAATTCATTTTTTACGTGGCAGTTCATTGTTTAATTGGTAGTTTCCCCAAAAAATCTATTCTTTATTATTTTCCATAGAAAAATGATATTTTACTTGGTTGTCCCAAAAATCTATTCGTTATTATTTTCCATGGAAAAATGATATTTTTACTCAGTTATTATATTTCATGTGTTCTTTTTGAAATTGCTCATCCTGTCTCAAAAAATTGAGATGAGTAAAGTATTTTTTACATGATCAAGCATTGTTTTTCTGCAATACAATTTACAGGTGGGAAATAGGAGAGGGGGATTAGTTGCACTGTGAGTTTGGCCCAGCATCACAATGCCCAACGGATTAATCTTCTATGTGTTGTATTATGCAAATTTCTTGTGAGCTTGGAATTGCGTGTTATTGGATGATCATTGTCTAGCCTTGTCTTTAACAACATTTAGGGTTGTTTTGTAATTCATTATTGTATTATTTTGCTGCATCTTGGTTTCTGTTTTGGTTTGTTCTTTTCAGTTTTCTACTTATGTCTCTTATTTCGGGATTGTATAATTGTGTATTATTATTATTATTCTTAGTTTTTTGTAGTTTCTGTAACTTGGAAGTCAGTTTTTACAGTAGACCCACATATTGTTGACCATTTAACACTCCTGATGTTTTTCAGCCGTCCCATCTCGTTCAGTGACTATGCAGCACCTGTAGTTACTTACGACTATAATCTATGAAGAAAACAGATGAGCTTCTAGCGTGTAACTAGCTGGCTCTTGGGGATATCATTTATTGTTGTTATTGATAATTATGGGACAATTTTTGTTCAATTTCAATTATTATATATTTTTGATCGGTAGAGTGAATGGCATACAAAGAATACTAGATGACAAATTTTCTTTTCTTTTAAGGGGGAAGAGGTGAATATTTGGAAAATAAAACATATATATGTATCTTAAACTTTTCTTTTAAGGGGGAAGCAGTGAATATTTGGAAAATAAAACATATATATGTATCTTAAATGATATACATAAAGAAGTTTTGTGAAAAATGAAAAAAGAAAACAAGTCCTAAGGTTGGCAAAATTTCCAGCTTTAGAAATCCTCTCAAGAGTTGTGACACCCCAAAACTTGCTAGTCTTTCTGTAACCACTTTTCCCTTTATCAAAACGTGACACATGTCTGAGTCTCCTTCAATTATGGTTGCGGCCTACATGTATGTCTTCGATAATGCAAGCCCTGATGCAGCAGCTCTAAATTTTCCCCATTTTGAATTCCCAATTCTTAATCCACATAACATTTTAGATCTTTGCCTCTGTCATGTATTGCACCACTGTAACAAGCTGACAGAGGGCTACCTTCATCCTTCAAAATTCAGCTCATTGTACTTCCAGGGAGGACACCAATTTACTGTTTGGCTTGATCTTTGAGTTTGTTCTTGTAGAAGGTTGGACCATCTTTGTCGCCCTTCCCCTACAGTGGGCTTTGTGTGAATTCTTAAAGTTTGGGACACCATTAAATTTTGTCTCTGAATGATGTCAATGGCTCATGTTGATTGTGGCTTGCTTGTACATTGTCTCAAGGATATAGTCACCTTACTCCAAACGATAACTTCGCAATGACCTGTCCTGACTTAAAATTTATGAGCAAAATGCTAGAGAACTTACCTTTTTAAGAATAGTTGACTTGGAAGGAACTTACCTTGTATGACAGTCTGTGACTTCTGGGCATTGTTTATCTTGTGATTTACTTTGTCCATCTCATGTAAAATGTGATCTTTTACTTTTATGTAAGAAGGAATTCAGAGGCGTGTAAAAGATAAATTTAGTAATATTATATTTTCTTTTCTGTGAGGTTGCTTGTAAACTTCTGTCAGAAATAATGGTCTTCAGGTAAATTAAATTCAAGCTCAAGTTTTTATGCCCTGTGGCAAAATCAAGTCTGAAGTAACTAGCATTATAATGCTTATGGATACTAGTAGTGGCCACAAATCATCTGTAATAAATTCTTGGTGTGCTCTCACACAAACTATCCTTTGGAACTAAATAAGCTATTTCCATTTATATGCCTTGGATAATTAATGTAGAATGTAGGAGCTTACTTCTGTGAGTGGTCACCCTGAGTTTTCTAATTGCTACTTTGGTTTTTTGGGAGGGTACATATCTGTGGTTGCTGTTCGCTATCTGTTGTTGAATTGATGATGATTTCAACTGCTTTGTAGGATGGTACCTGTAAGAATAAGGAGAAGAAAGGTCTAATGTGCCACCAGTGTCTGCATAGTTACAAAGATGGTGTCGTTGTTTGCTCGTACTGTGAAAAGAAGCGCTATTGTTACACATGTGTAACCAAATGGTAAGTATTTCTATTGAATGAAACGTTCCTCATCAATCTTTTGGGATGATCAACATTAGGACCTGATATGAAGCATAAATGATCAGTGGGTTAGTGCTATTTTTATTTTTATGGAGCCCCCCTCATCTTCATTCTGCCAACTGTTGCTTGTTAGTGTTTACACATTTGGCTCTTATGTTTATTTTGTTGGATTCATTTTTTTTATATATTTTAATTTTCTGAGTTATTAAATTGGGTTTAACTTGGGTACCTAGCTAAAAAAAGGTTTTAGCTTTGTTGCTTTATTTTTATATTTTCTTTTTATTTTTTTTTTAAGATAGAATCACCTGACCTAAACTAATTAGTTGCTTAGCCAGTAATGAAATTGAATAATCACAAGATATGAAACAATGAAATAAAATAAACCTGCAAATTTTTTTTTAGCTCGCTTGTTGTTTATGCCGTCCATTGTTTGCTTGAATGAAATGACAGGTATCCTGAACAAACACGGGAAGAAATTGAAAATGCTTGTCCATATTGTCGTGGCAATTGCAATTGTAAGGCGTGTTTGCGTGAAAGCATTGCTGTGATGGTAATGTATCTGTCTTTTTGGCTTTTCTTGCATTGGTTGGAAACTTGATTTGTGACTTGACTTTGTTTACAATGAAATTGATCTGATGATCAAATTTCTCACTCTTCCTTGGACTCTCTCTCTCTCTCCTTTGGCTTCTTTCCAGGCCAATAGAAAGGAAGTTGATGCCAGTGTTAAACTGCGACGATTGCAGTATCTGTTACGTCGGGTCCTTCCTGTGCTGGAGAAAATTTATGCAGAGCAGGATTTGGAGAAAGAGATAGAAGCTAAGATAAGGGGTTAGTGATTATGATATACACATTCTATTTGTTTTTTATTTTTGCTACTTATTTGCTTATTTCCTTTTTTGTTTTTTAATCTGGAGTCATGGTAACTCTTTAATGGACTAGGAGTTCAGCCAGCTGATCTGGATGTGGAAAGGTCAAAACTTAACCCTGATGAACGTATATATTGGTATGTAATGTCTTAAGGTGGAAATGCCATGCATATTTCTTAATTTTCATAGAACAAGTTAATTACTTACTGGATGTTGAGGGAGAAGTTAGTGACTTATGGATGTTGGGAGGGAGGGAGGGAGAGTGGCATTTGGGAAGTTGCAATGTGGATTTTATATAATTTTGTATAGGAGTTAAAAAAATGTCCTTTTGAGGAAGGAATTCGGCCTAGCTGTGGTCAGAAATCTGAAACCTTTAGCCCAATCTTTGGTTGCATTTGGTTTCTGGAAGTGGTGGCTTCCATATCCTCCGCTTCCAGAAATTTTAGCACTTCTCCGTTTGATTTTGGGAAGTGCAACACGATCTTTGGAACCGCAGCTTCCAAAACCATGTAGAAAGGTGGACGTGGCTGATTCTATGGGGGGCCATGGAACTAGCCACTTCCTTCTTTGGGAAGATATTACTTCTAAAGCTGCGCTTTCCCTAAATCGAACATGCCCTTTGACTCTTTGTTTGTGCTTCCTCGTTCAATAATGAACCATATTAACAATGACTTTTCTTGTATGGCAGCAACAACTGTAATACGTCGATCGTCGATTTCCATAGAAGCTGCTCAAACCCGAAATGTGATTATGATCTTTGTCTTTCATGTTGCCGGGAACTCCGTGAAGGTCGTCAGCCAGGAGGCAACAAGGCTGAAACTGCCCACCAACAATCAATAGAAAGAACCCAAAATCGGGTATCGGATGACTCTTCCAAAGATGTTAATAGCAAACCATGCATACCCAGAAAAAGATATGGTTGGGAGAGTCAAGCGGCTGCTGCTAATGGCCATATTGTGATGCCCCCTTCTCTTCCTTTGCCTGATTGGAAAGCAAATGAAGATGGTAACATCCCTTGCCCCCCAAAAGTGCGGGGCGGATGTGGGGCTTACACCCTCACGCTAAAGCGCAACTTCAAAACGAATTGGGTTGTCAAGTTATTTAACAATGCCAAGGAACTCATTGATAGTAATGATGAATTGTCTAAGGATTCGGGGTTTTCTCAAAGATGTCTTCGTTGCCCTCCATATTGGCATTCAGAGATTATTGGTGATGATAATAAAAAGTGTGACCTTAGGCTGGCGGCTCATCGAGGTGACAGTGATGACTTCCTCTATTGTCCAAGTGCCCTTGATGTGGGGAGCGATGGGATTGACCATTTTCAGGAGCACTGGATAAGAGGCGAGCCAGTGATAGTTAGGGATGTTAATGAGAGAACATCTGGACTTAGTTGGGAACCCATGGTTATGTGGAGGGCTGTTCGGGAGACATCCAGAAAGAAGCTCCAAGAGGAGAAAACAACTGTAAAGGCCATTGATTGCTTGGATTGGTGTGAGGTAGCGTTCTTATTCTCTGTCCTCATCTGCATCCTAGAAATATGCTTTCCTGCATCTTAGCAATGTCGTATTCTTGATTTTGTGTTTTTCTATTACTTAATCCCAACAAATAGGCATACCAAGGTTTAATCGTCATAGGAAACAAAAAGTATAATTCAACAAATTATGGAAAACCGTAATCCATTTAGGTCATCACCATTCTATGACATGATGGATGCCATGATGGAGAGAGAGTGAAATCCGTCATTGGGGTCATGCCTTGTCTGGGTGGGTTCCAGTTTCTCCACCATGTGTCATTTCACGGCATGGTGAAGACCCCAACGGACAATGGTTTTCCACAGTTGTATTCTATCCCATCTTTTTAGGCATTGTATGAGTGAAAAATCAAGAATATACTTATCCAGCCATGAAGACCTGGCAATGGTGTTTTATTTACTAATGGTTTAATGGGCAAAAATGAAGTCCAATGCTTTATCAGAATGCAACATTAATAGTCACCTGGATTGTTCTTAAGCCGAGTACCTACTCATAAGACATGGAATTCTTGAGCCTTGTCAGATGTTAAGCATAATATTTGCTAGATGTGATTGTGCGTCTTTGGTTTCGAACGGTTTCCACATTCTTGACAGAACCAAATTTTCGGATTCTGGACAGAAATCTGACCAAATAGGAAAGCCCCCGAAATTTGGAATTTCAATCTAATTGGATTGAGATTAGGGAAAAGATTGTTTAAACACAATGTCTTTAATACCTTTTCCTGTAATTATTTAATGATTAGCTTCTTCTAAATTTCACTTAAGTGGATTATATCTTGGCCATTTCTGACTGAAATTTGCTACAGTGGTTGTTTGAAGGGTTATAATATCATTCTTGCATCCTAATGTTGATGGTGGATAGAATACAGAAGATGCCTTTAAGGGCTGATTACAAATAGTGGCAAAAATATAGGGGAACCCTGATGTAGTATACAGGGTGGCAAAAATATATGAGACACCCTGATATAGTATTGGCTGCAGCAAGCTTTTAGTCAATTACACGTAGTATTGATAACATTGAGATAGATTTTAGCTAAATGCTCTACGCATTGGTGGTGGCTAGAAGCTGAATACATCAAGTCTTGATAGCAGTGAAAAGGCTTTTGTTCTTTATCCACTAAGCATTTTAGTGGCAAGAAGCCTGAACCCATCAAGTTTTGATAGCAGTGGGAAGGCTTTTATACTAATACTCTTCACAGTGGAAATAACTTTATTCAACCAAGGAATTATTTCAAAAAAACTTAGATTTGTTTGTTGCATGCTAATTACGGCTGTGACTAGAATGAAATCCAGCGAATTGTGTAGGAAGCTTTGGCCAAATATACTTTTAAGTACTGATATAAGTGAGAAAACTTTAGCCAAATACACTTTTTAAGTATTTTTGGAAGAGAAGGCCTTTTGCCAAATACACTGAAGCATTGATTACTGAAAAGACTTTTATGCTAAATACATTGAGTATTGGTAGTAGTGAGAAGCTGAATTCATCAAGTGGTAATCATGTGATGATCATGGCGAAAAGGCTTTTACTCTGTATACTGGTCACGGCAAGAATAGATTGATCCATCAAAGGCATTAAGCCAAAGCACCTCATATTTCTTTGTTCCTGCGATAATTGTTCAGCCGTGGCAAGAATAAACTTTGTGTTATAAGGCAGAGAGAACTAGGCATGGGCCAAGTGGCAATCACGTGACATACTCTCACCTCTTGAAAGATGATAGCTGTTAACGTCTTATAGAGCGCAAGAGTTATGCACGTGCCCCAATTTCCCAAATAACAAGGGCTTAAAGCTCATCTTCTAAGGTACCTAGCATGCTGAGAATTTTGTAAGCTGGATGGAAGTTGTAACTTCCAAATCTCCTCTCAAAGTTTTCTAGAAAGAAGATTTGGGTTCCAACTCTGAGAAGACAGCAGACAATACTTAGAGAGAGGGAAGACAAAAGAGATTGCATTCAAGTGGAAGGGGGAAGATTCTCATTGCTTGTAAGCAACTTAGAGAAGGCAAAATCATGGTGAGGAAATCTCTATTTAAAACCCGTTGTTTTCAAGAAAGCTTTGTATTTCTTAAATGTGTTTTAAAAGGTGTGATTTTAACTTTAAAAAATCATATTTTTTAAGAAAACAAAAGGAAAAAACCCATTATTTTCAAGAAAGCTTTGTATTTCTTAAATGTGTTTTAAAAGGTGTGATTTTAACTTTAAAAAATCTTTTTTTTTAAGAAAACTAAAGGAAAAAGTTTATACAAGATTGCAACCTTGAAATGTAGAATTAAGGTGCACCTTTAAAATAAGTCATAAAAGGTTGTTTTGATGTTGGAAAACCCTCTAATTGATCATACATTGAGATGTACGAGTACGAAGAGAAAAAAGGATTTCGAGTCCCAAAAATAGTGCATCTTGAAACACATTATCTAGACTATCTATTTTTAAGATTTTTATGTGTTTATAGATCTACTTTGATTTGAACTATTTTTGAAGTTTAAACTTTTATAATTAGAGATGGGAATAGATTCTCAAGCCATCCTAATAAAATTTAACACCGAAATTACATTTATTATAAAATTGGTAGGTGCGCCTTAATTTGATTGTTTAAGGTTGCAACCTTATACAAGCGACATCCATAATATTGTTGTATTTTATATTTTTTAAAAGAAACTTTTGAAAAAACTCCCAAAATTTGCCTTAAAATTTTCTTACTATGTTTGTCTCTCTGACTCGATGAATATAACTCCCTTTTGAGCATTGGCAAAGTATAACTCCCTTTTTTTTTACTATACACACCTGTGCATGTATAGGACTTTTTGGACCTCGTAATGGGTTTTTGATATATGAACATCTGGTCTGTGGGTGTTCCATTTTGTGTGCATTTTCCCTATCACTACAAAAGTTAACATTTAAAAAAAAAAAGTATTAAGTTTGGTCCAGTATTTGATTAAAAACATTATAAAGTGATAGTTCCATGCAGTGTTTTAAAAATCGGCGAGTCAAACCGGACTTGCCCGGTTCGACTCGGGAACTGGCACAGCCCATGCTGGTTCCAATACAAAACCGGGAACCGCCTTGTTCTAGAGAAGAACCGCCGGTTCCAATTCGGTTCTGTCCGGTTCTACCTGGTTCTCTCCCTGCAAAAGTGCGACACGCGCGTGCATAAGTGCGACACGCGCGTGCATGCGTGCGACACGCGCGTGCACGCATGCGACACGTGTGAGGTACATATTGTATAAATATATGTTGTATATATTGTATAAATATTTTTGTAAATAATATAAAAGAGTAAAAAAATGAAAAATAAAAAAGTTAATGTTTTGTATAGCAGTTAATTTTTGTTGTATATAGTGGTATAATTATTTTTTTAAATAATATGAAAGGCGTAAAAAAATAAAACATAAAATTTTTTTATTCTATTTGAAATCTCCATCTTTCTACTAACAATCTCTTTCACTAAATTTATTATAGAAACCTAAAAAAATAAATTTTTGAAAAATTGAAGTGTTATTTCTAAAATTTGTACGCATTTTATTAATTTTTACATTGATAACCAAATTTTTTATTTTATTTATTAATTTTTACATTATAAATCATGTAATGTACTATTTTTCTTACAGTTGTCAATAATACATTTTAAATTAGATAATATTATAAATATTTTTAATTTGTTATTATTTATCTAATAAAATAATTATAAAATGTAAACTAATAATTATAATTTCAGTATATAATATTATAATTAGTTAGGTTTTAATAATTTTGGATTATAGTTAGTTAGGCTATAATAATTTGGATTTTTTTAGTGGATTAGGGTTTTTCGCCAAAACGAGATTTTAATGGCCATTCTTTCATTGATTAGTCTACTCTTTATAATAGTCCATGTATAATTATATATTTTATCTATGATAATTCTATGAATTTTCTTTTATGTGATGCAAATTTAATGGTTAACATAAGTTTATACAAGGAAAGAGCATCTCAATATTCACAAATTGATGAAAAAAATGAAAGCTAATAATGTAGTACTTTCATTTCTTATTTGATTCCTAAAAAACAATATTTATAATGAATTTTAATAATTTTTTTGGATGGTTTTGAAGCTTTAATCCGACCGATTCAGTCGATTCCCGATTCGGATCGCCGATTCGGATCGGTTTTTGAGATGCCTGATCCGGGTCACCGATCCGCTTTTTAAACTATTGGTTTCATGAGTTCTATGTGAAAGTTGATGTTTTTAGCCACTCTCCCCAGCCACACATACATAAAAATACATACATACATAAATATGTATATATATATATATACAGTTATACATCAAGTTCCACCTGATTTTTTAGTCAAATCCAAACTAATTACATTCTTCACACCTAAGAGTTTTCTGTTTTTCTATTATTTGGATGAAAACCGAACTCATATGTATTTTCTTGGTTACTAGTGCATTGCTATTGTATATCCTGTTAAATATGGGTAAATTAACGCGTCATCTGTGGCTTGTGTAACCTTCTCTAGTTGTCTCCTTTAACTATAGAGTCGTCATTTTGTCTCGAGAATGAGCGGTTTTCCTTTAAAGAAGTTTCAAAAAATTCCTGATGAAAATAATAGTTATGTTCCTAATGGGCCCAACTGTTGCATTATATAAAGATAACATGGAGTACAGTAAATGCAAGTACTTATGTAAAATTACTCTTGTTTTGCACCAAATTAGCCATTAAGAATTGCCTCATGGCTGTAAATAAAAACTTATGGAAAAACATATGTAAATATAAAATCAAAAAAATTATTATTATTTTTTGAAGATGACCCTTTTCCCAAAAATAAATGTTCTTTTTTAGTACTTATAATTTTCTCCATTATTTTCCTTTTTCATCATTTGCCCATTTTGTCTTTTTTCTTGAAAAAAGTTTATATAAGGATGCAACGTTATAATGTAGAACTACATATGCACCTCAAAAATCCATTGGAAAAGGTAGTTATTAATGTT